CACACACACACACACACACACACACACACACACACACACACACACACACACACACACACACACACACACACACGTGAAGTGGGCGGTAGCTGTAATGATTGACAGGTATGTGGAAGTGGGCGTGGCCCTGGGACCTGTGTTGATGGACAGCTCTCAGCAGTGACGAGACGTGTTGTTGACATTCCTGCATCGACTGAAAAACTTGAGTTTCTTCTTTCTGCCAACAGCCCTGAAAACATTTGAAAACATGGAAAGCTACTAATCAGTCAATACTTTCAGCCAATCATCAATAAGCWTGATCAGTAGGTGTGGCCTCAGACCTTGAGGTGCTGCTCCAGCTGTGCTCTAAAGGATTTGAAGGCAGCTGTGATGTCAAAGGCCAGCTGAGACTCTGGCTCCGCCCCCTGTTCAGATACAGGTTGCCTCCCCAGGCCAACTGCCCACACTCCATCTTTGAGGACGTCCTCCTCTACAGTTAGCCCCGCCCCTTCAGGTGAATAATCTACAACCAGCTAAGTACCATAACGTAGACAAAGCTTAATGTTAAATAGGCTGTATTTGAAAAGATTACCAGTTAATGCTGATTTAGACTCCTCCTTCTTATTGGGAGGCCCCGCCCTCTTTTTGTGGGCCGACACATCCTCAGTCTGGTCTGACAGGTAGCCTGTCCAACATGTGAAAACAGGTTCATCTTTATTTGACTGGTGCTGACAACTTCAACTTAAATTCAATCATTTTTAGTTTCTCTTTATTAGATCAACTGTCAGAACATCATAACCCAAATAAATCCAGGTGAGACCTGAATCTGGAGCCTCCCTCTTCCTCAGAACTTCCTGCAGGATGAAAGAAAACAAGTGAAAAAAGGTCAGATCAGGTAAAAGATCAGGCTGTAATGATCAAATAAAAAACTAATCGACCATTTTAGAAGCAGGGCTGCACTCATTTCCAAGCTCCACAGTCTGATCTTTAGAGATTTGAAGCTCCTCCCCATTTTCAACCACTGGCACAGGTTGGTACAAGTCTGCCAGGTTAGCTTCTGAGATGTTGACATGATCAGCAATATCCAAAGGTAACATCTGGAAAACATCTGGATACACAAACACAGGAGCTTCTTCTGGCTTCTTTCTGATTTGTACATTTAAAAACTGTCTCACTGTTAGGACCAACACAGACAGGGAGGTGATGTTCTGCACACTCAGACCCAAGGCTTACAAAGAATCTGGTAAAACTGATAATTACTTCATTCCTGCCATATTTATTAGTGTCACTGATGAATCATATTGTGTAACTTGTTTATAATCTGTGTAGAATCTGTTTATTGCATGTCATTGTCTGTCACAGGAGAAGTGCTGACTCACTGTTCAGTTTGGGAGTGGAGTGTTGGATCTGATCAAAGAGCGTCTCTGCTCGGTCCGTGGCTCTGGGCTGAAAGGATACATCGGACTTCAGAAATACACAACTTGTTTGTTTGCTTGTGTCACTGTTGTTACCTTTGGAGAAGAGAAATCCTCTTCACTGCTTGGAGACGACAGAGGTAAAACTGAGGAGAGATAACTGAGATCATTTCCAACAGTCTGATGACTCAAGTCTTCCCTCCTACAGGAGTGAAAACTGTACGAGCTGAAACATTATCATGTTCTTCATTATTAAAACTACACACTTCCTCTCCTTAATGCTGGTTATCAGCTCACCTCTTAGCTGACTCTTGTTTGTGGCTTTCTTCCGACTGTAGGTCTGACTCCTGGGTTTATGTTGACAGGACGACACCTGAACAGGTCCACCTTTGACTGGTTGTCGGGAGGAGCACGGTCCTTTCTGTGGAAAACAAACGAATCATGAACTGACTGTTTAAACACTTTGAGAAGAAGCAAAGAATAGTTGAAATAAATCATTCTCTTCATCAAATCTTTATCAAAATGAACCGTTTGGAAAAACTGCAGTTCATTGAGACAAAAACAAACGATCAAACATGGAGAAACACTGCAACAAACTGACATCACCTGTAGCATGCACAGTGTGGAGGCACACAGGTACGCAGTGAGACAGGTACACAGTGAGACAGGTACACATTGAGACAGGTACACAGTGAGACAGGTACACAGTGAGACAGGTACACAGTGAGACAGGTACACAGTGAGACAGGTACACAGTGAGACAGGTACACAGTGAGACAGGTACACAATGAGACAGGTACACAGTGAGACAGGTACATTGAAGACCCTGGCTGCTGCCTCCTCCAGCTCTTCATGGTGATCGTAGCTGAAGGTCAGCTCCACCGTCTGGCCTCTGCAGCTGTGATGCATGATGGGATTGGTCATCCTGACACTGAGGATCGTTTCTGAAACATTAAAAACAGAAAAACAAACGAACTGATTTTAATCTGTTTATTTTCAGTTAATTATTTTACAATAATCTGAAGGATGAAGGCCACAGAAACTCCTCCTCCTCCTCTTTTTAACTAAAAACAACTTTAGTTTGCTTTCAGCACCAGACCTCCTTGTAAAACTGATCTGTAATCTGAAAGGGATTTGCCAGATTAAATACAGGCCAATAAATAATCTAATTGTTTATTTACAGATGATGTTAAATAAAATCTTAAATCTGTGTCCAGCAGGTCATTGACCACTTCTTCTAACAGGTTTCAGTTTGGAGCTACACTGTGAAAACTAAACTCCTCCCACTGGTCAACAAACAACTGACTAAATATAAAGAAATTAAAGTTTTACCGTTTCAGGATTTAAAGAGACTCTACTTACCATCATGGTGCACCTGCAGAGTGTAGTGATCCACTTCCTCCTTCAGCAGGTGGATCGAACCCCAAAGAAAACCCTACAACAGGAAAACATCAGCCCCCACAGGAGGAACAAGGGTATCAGCCCCCCACAGGAGGAACAAGGGTATCAGCCCCCCACAGGAGGAACAAGGGTATCAGCCCCCCACAGGAGGAACAAGGGTATCAG